CGGCCTCCTCCGTATATCGCTGATCATCCCTCACATACGTCTCTTCTACTTCACCCTCAACTTTCATCTTCATCAGATCTTCACCCTAAACCAACAGAACGGCAGAAAGTCTCATCTGTGACATAGAAGTATTTATGATGTGACATCACATAGAAGATCTCATCTTGTAGAGTCCACACGTCATCTCCACATGTCAGAGCGTTCCCTCACTTTATGTTCCCGCCCCCCAACTCCACCCACCTGATCATGGTGGGGGACGGTGAGATCTTCCTGGGTGGGATCCCGGGAATACAGAGGAAGGGGACATCTCTCTGGTGGGTTCCTGTTGTTAGGTGCCTCCATCATAATGTCCTTGTGTCCTTCAGAAAGTTCCTTCATCACTCCGTACTCCTCATCGTACTCTTTTATCTCTTCTTTAACAACAACTTTAAAATCACTCTGAAAATAAAATAAATGGTAACAATGTAGACAATCTCCATATCCCAGAGATGCCACCAGAGATTGTCCATCATCTACCTGATCATGGTGGGTGGGGGGATACAGAGGGCGGGGACATCTCTCATGGTGAGGGACGGTGAGATCTTCCTGGGTGGAGTCCCGGGAATAGAGGGGGCGGGGACATCTCTCATGGTGAGGGACGGTGAGATCTTCCTGGATGGAGTCCCGGGAATACAGAGGGCGGGGACATCTCTCTGGTGGGTTCCTCTTACTGGATCCATCTGTAGGAAACACACACACTGACTGAATACATTGTTTCTATGTGTGTATCAGATGATGGGGTATGTAGGCGGAGCCTCCGTACTTATGTCTGGTTCACAATATATTTGGGGAAGATGTAGACATCCTCTCGCCTGATGTTGTGGAGGTCTACAGATCCTCAACCATCAGTCCAATCCATATACTAGAACAATTTCTGAGTGCAGTGTTCATTACTCACTTGTGCTTATATCTACGGAAGATTCCTCCTGTTTAGTTGTCGTCGTCATCTCAACCTTCTCCATAGTCTGCTGATAATTCATCCCATACCTCTCCTCTTCTTCCTCTTTGACCTCAACTTTCATATCCATTCCTTTTTCATTCTAAACCAACAAAATTACCAGAAATATCTCTCAAACCCGGTCACTGATAACCTAAAACATACAAAGGAACGTAATCTCAAAGTCTAGGCTGACTACTTGGTCCTCAGTCCCACCTACCTGGTCATGGCAGGGGACGGTGAGATCTCGGGAATACAGAGGGCGGGGACATCTCTCATGGTGGGGGATGGTGAGATCTTCCTGGGTGGGGTCCCGGGAATACAGGGGGCGGGGACATCTCTCTGGTGGGTTCCTCTTACTGGATCCATCTGTAGGAAACACACACACTGACTGAATACATTGTTTCTATGTGTGTATCAGATGATGGGGGATGTAGGCGGAGCCTCCGTACTGCTCTCTCCTCTTACCCGGTGATGTGAGGGGCGGGGCATTCTCCATCACCACGTCCTTGTAGAGATCCCGGTGTCCTTCTAGATACTCCGGCTCCTCGGGAAGGGAACCGATGACTCCTGCTGAATCACATGACCACACACCATATGAAGATGGACCTCCAGGCAATGTTCTTATGCGAGGACACATTTGCAGTTTCATGTTGATGAGTTAGGAGGGAACACGGAGAGGTGAAAATATTATAGGCTTTGGACAGATTTAGTATGAGGAAGAGGTGTGACATCAGTGAGTAGATTAGAGATACGTGAGGAGATAGACGGAGTGAGCTGAGGGGGTAGAGAGATATATTTGGGTGCCATCGGCATAGAGATGGTATTGGAAGCCATGTGAGGAGGTGTAGATGGAGAATCGAAGGACAGAGCCTTGGGGGACCTCCACAGGAAGAGGAAGTAGAGTTACGGGTGACACCGAAGGTGCGCTGGGATAGGTAAGAGGAGAGCCATGAGAGAACAGAGTCTTGGTGGCCAAGAGATTGGAGTTTATTTAGCAGGATCGGGTGGTCAACCATGTCCAAGGCAGAAGAAAGGTCCTGGAGTACGAGTACAGAGTGATGGCCGTGGGTTTTGGTGGTTAGTACGTTTTAGGAGGGCAATTTCCATGGAGTGTTGCAGATGGAAGTTACATAGTTACATTGAAAGGGGTCAAGGCGGTTGTAGACCAGCCGTTCAAGAAGTTTGGAGGTAAACGGGAGCAATGAGATGGATCTCAAGTCGTTCAGACTGGTGGGACCCAATGAGGGCTTTTTTTTTCTAAATGGGGGGTCACCAATGCTTGTTTTAGGGGTGTGAGGAGGATGCCCGTGGAAAGGGAGAGGTTGAAGATGTGGCTAAGAGTGTAGAATAGAGCTAGAGGGCGACCGGGGTAGTTGTGAGGGGACGGGGCCCAGGTGGTGAGGTGGGTGTTGGGAGAAAAGAGAAGGGACTTCGTCAGCAGTGACGGGATCATGTGACGAGAGTGGTGAATGTGGTCATAGAGTCCATTACCAAAAGGTGAAAGGTCATCGATGGAACGTGACCCATCTCCAAAATGTCCCGGCCCCGTAAGGCGGGAAATGTTCTGACCCCGAAGAGGTTAATATAAGTTTGCACACTCTATGTGTGTATCAGAATGTGCCGGAGATAAAAGACGTCACGGTGACTACGGAGGACGAGGACGGACATGACGGGGGGGGGGTGTCACTGGGGTGTAAATATATCTTCTTACCTCCTCTGCTGCCCGTGCCGGCAATGTCTCCTCTCTCTTTGCATTGACTAGACCACTAACCTGCAATGTCCTATTTATATGTGACATCACTTCCTATCTCTACCTTACATCACTTCCTATTTCCATAGAGACTTCCTGTCTGGGTATAGGTGAGGTCACCACATAGTGGAGCTCAGAGGAACTGCAGCCTCGGGAAACCTCTCGTAGTGTGACCACGGCCTTGTGCGGACATTCATTGACCTCTGTTCTCTGCGAATACCCCGACGTATGACGACGAATACCCCGACGTATGACGACGAATACCCCGACGTATGACGACGAATACCCCGGCGTGTGACGGCGAATACCCCGACTTGTGACGGCGAATACCCCGACTTGTGACGGAGAATACCCCGGCGTGTGACGGAGAATACCCCGACGTGTGACGGAGAATTCCCCGGCGTGTGACGGAGAATACCCCGACGTGTGACGGAGAATACCCCGACGTGTGACGGAGAATACCCCGACGTGTGACGGAGAATACCCCGGCGTGTGACGGAGAATACCCCGGCGTGTGACGGCGAATACCCCGGCGTGTGACGGCGAATACCCCGACGTGTAACGGAGAATACACCGACGTATGACGGCGAATACCCCGACGTATGATACATTTTTGTAGTTTTCCTCTTCTCATATTTTGATGCCTGTGGGAGGAGCCTAAATATCATTCCCCATAGGGAAGAAGATGTCTAACTTCCCAAAGGGTCCATCACCGCAGTCCTGGGAGCTCCACGTGGCCACATGATTGTCAGGAGGACTTCTTTATTCATCATTGAGACAATAATGGAGGTCTGAGGAGCCCCAAACATGTGTGGAGAGGGGGGGGTGAAGATGTACTGAACACAGCGTCACCCTCATTTCTCCAGAACTCAGGTCAATGGGCACAAACTGAAGTCCCTCACTCAGGGGACTCCAAGACCCCTAATGTCACCTGGGGACTCCCAAAGAAGCTGATGAAGCAGAGATCTGCTTCATCAGCTTCTCTCCAGCTTCTGAAGCCTGAGAGCGACACAAGAATGCAGAAGTGATGTAATATGCATCACTTCCGCATTCAGACACTGGAGAGGGGATCGGCGGGAGATCGCATACTGTCAGGGTACCATGCGCAGGTGTCCTCACAACGCATGCAGGTACCCACGCAGAGGGACCACATTAGACAAGGTCCATGGAGTAGTATACAGCGAATAGCTGGATGCACACCCCGGGTATAGAGTCAGGTAAATCTAGGGAGCAGGGCAAGACCAGGGGAGCTAAGGGGGCAAAGGTCCAGGTACAGGCAGGTAACAGGACTCCCACACCAGGGGAGCTAAGGGGCAAAGGTCAAGGTACAGGCAGCTATCAGGACTCCCACACCAGGGGAGCTAAGGGGCAAAGGTCAAGGTACAGTCAGCTATCAGGACTCAGGATACACAGGAAATGGCAACACGCTCAGGGCACAGGACTCAGTCAGGGAAAGGCGACAGGATACTGAGCCACAGTCTGGACTGCAGGGAGGGATTATATACCCTCCCAGGGAGCACCCGGTGATGGACCCGGCCGGGTCATCTGGAACGTAGATACGAAAATGTCGGCACTCAGGGTGAGACCCCGTTGTCATGGTGCACATCGGCACCAATGACAAAA